CAAGAGCGTCAGGATGAATTACAGGAGTGATGGAAATCGGGGCGTATCCCAGAGGTGGCTATAAAGAGCTTGGGGTAATCTCTGCAATACCTCTGTTGCAGGAGTCGTTCCAGTATACAGGCAAGGACTGGTGCGACCAAGAGCAGGTTGCAGCTTTCCCTTGCTCTCCTGTGGGCTACACTGGTGCCTGCTGGAGCTCAGGAGCAGAGCGCTGTGCTCCATGAGATGAGGAGCCTGCAGCCAGTCACCTGAATTCAGTGTTCAGTGCTGCCCAGGCCATCGTAAACAGCCGTGTCCCAGCTTCCTTTGGCATTACGCTTCATTTGTATTCTGACTCTGCACCAGTGATACGGCACATACATACCATTTTTCCTATAACCTGCTTTCCAGAGGAGGGAAACATGGGTGCCTGGGCTGGCAGGGAACTCTCGTGCACCCCTGCAGGGACCCTCCCATGCTCAGTCTGGCTTAGATGCAAACAGGGATGGCAGTTGCCTTCCTCCAAAGCACAGACCTTCTTGATCATAAGGGCTCTGAATGAATGCAGTATGCAGTTTCCTGAGCCATGTATCTTGACTAACCTTGGGCTGCATTTCTTGAGGATATCAAAAGGCATCTGACCCCCCCCCCCCCATGTGCCATGCTGAATCCTAATTATACTTAATCTTATTAAAAAAACACAACAATTGGAAACTTTGGTTAAGAGCTGACTAATGTTGGTAAAATTACCTGCTTTCCCTAACGTTTTCCTTGGACATAGCAGCACTTTTTTTGTTGTGGTTTTTCCCCTTCCATAAACAAGTCAGCCTGAGGCAGAGGGTAAAGTTTAGCTCCAGTGACTGAGACTTGGGAAAGTTGCTAGCAGTGAGAAGCATTGCTTATACTGGAGCTTCGTCAGGGTAGGTATGGTATGGCTGCAAGCCAGTTGACTTGACCACAGATCCTTTTTCAGGGGCAGTCCCACAGTCCCATGGCTCTTGGGACAAAAGGTGAACACGGGGAAGGCTCGATCTGCGCACTGCATGCACACAGCATTGTAGCAGAGGTTTTCCTGTCGCCGTGCCCCATGCTCTGTTTCACCGTGGTGTTACTCACCATCCTGAGGGAACAAACTCCTGAGTCAGACTGCACACAGGTAGCCCAGATACTCAGGAGATTTCGATGATATCTCACTCTGGCTTTAGCTGATGTGATCCACATCACTGTGAATATTTTTGTCTCTACTACAGCCAGCATCTCGTCCAACCCCTTTTTCCTGGGTCAGTTTGAAAAGCTGTCCCCCACAGCATCTCTTTGGCAGATGCACCTTCAGAGAAAGGCTGTGGTGCTTCATTATATTAAGCAGGACAGTTTCACGACAAGGAGAGGACAAGATTTTGCAGCTAGCAGCTGCTGGCTAGTAGCCAAGAAAAATGGGTGTTTGTGACCCACCAGAGCTAGTTGCGCCCATCACGAACGTAAATGCTGTCAGTGGAACAGATACTCTGCATTTGACGTGTTTTCCCAGTCTGGCTAGGATGACAAATTAAACCTCCATACATGAATATTTCAAACTCTCCTGAATAACCTGGTATCGTGTGGAGAAAGTGGGTGCTGTTGGTCAGAGCCCAGCTCCCCAGTGTTGCAGTCACGTCCCGTACTCGGTTCCCGGGCTGACACAAGCACCCGTGGGACCCCATGGAGGTCAGTGCCCAGCTCTGTTCTTCAGCTCTCCTGCCTGAAAGTGGGAATGGTGATAACCAGGTCTCACCACTTTTGCCAGATGCTGCCAGGGCTCTGGTTAAAATACTCTGCTATAAAACTCCTGCTACCAAAACCTGCATTTCTCTACTGCCTGAAGTCTTTGGGAGAGACCCAGCTCTTACGCAGAATGAGGCTTCACCGAGTTTACAGTATTGGTACCTTTTCCAGTATTGTAGAAGGACTCCGCGGGGCTGCTTTTAGAAAAACCCATTTATCGTAGCACCACCTGCCCACCTACACAGTGTTGTGTTTATACTCTCACAGTCCCAGCATGCTGCACATAATTGGCATTCTGTTTGTACAGTCATGCCTTGGGTTTTATTTTTCAGTTTCTGCTGTCACCAAGTGTTTGTCAATGTTTTCTCACACTTCTTTTTTTTTTTTAAATATCCATATTATTTGGTCTTCCAGCCAATCTTCCAGCTATCAAGAATGTGGAACATCCTGTAATATTTTAATAGCCGTCGTCTTCATCTCTAAGTGTGGCGAATCCTTCGCATTTATTTGTTTCTTTACACTTCATGCGCATTGCAGGACTCCTAATGTACAGCGCTCCCAAATTTGTGCGCTGTACTGTATCCTGCTCTTTCTCCAAGTGTTGTGTAGTGTAATTTGTAATGTAGTGGCCTGTCAGGCTTGGCTGTGCATTTTCGACTTAGATCTTTTTCTAGTAGCTGTCCTTGCTTTAACATCTTTTGTGAATTATTGCCAGTAACTGTTCCTGGGGCTATTAAAATAGTCCTGCTCTCTGAGGGTG